ATAAGGTGGGAGAAAGAGGCAGACACCATGGTATGGATGAATGACATGGCAAACAGGAGCTCAAGGTGGAAGAAAAGAGAAGCCAGCATGGCAACATGAAGGCCATAAATCCCCTCCATAAATGGGGCCAGGCTTAAAGGCACAGCCACCTCATCAGTGACTACAAGGGCAGATCACTTGCACCATGAGAAAGAAGAAGCCAAAATGTAAAAGGAAGTTGCTGGCCTCAGGGTGGTGGAAGTCGGGAGGTCCTGCTCCCACTGAGTCCTCCACAGGAGTCGGTTGTGTGCCTCTCAACCCCGATGATCTCCTGACTTCTGAACAATACCAGGGACCTCCGGAGAGTCTCCTCCCTGATGACTCTGCTGCTCTCATTTCCTGGAGGGACTCTGGCCATGGCTTGGCTCCTGCTTCTGCTGCTGCCAGCAGTGTGTCTGCAAGCTGGTGAGTGTGGGGACCTCACTAGCAGGGACTGAACCACAAGAGGGGGCACAGGGCTGGGAAGAGTGGGCTGTCATGTGGACAGGGGTCTGCTAGAGGAGCAGCCAGGCCTCTCTGCCCAAGAGACAGCTCATCCCTCAGATTCAGCCTGACCCAACCTCCCCTGTCTGTCCTGTCCCACCAGCCCTGGGGACAGCCCTGCCCTTGTCCCACACCTGCCTGTGATGAAGGCTCAGGAGGCTCTGGGTGGTCCTTTCCATCCCCTGCTTGACCTCAGATTCTCCCATCCTTCCCAGGGAACTCAGCAGGATCCAACACAGAAAATACCAATGGGGTGAACCAGCCAGCACATGTCTCTGGTGTCCAGGGCGGCATCATAGAGATCCCATTCTCCTTCTACTTCCCCTGGAAGTTGGCAGAGGATCCTCAGCTGAGAATAACCTGGAGATGGAAGCACTTCCATGTGGGATTTATCTACAACTCCACCCCGCTTTTCATACACAAGCATTTCAAGAACAGGCTCATCCTGAACTGGACACCGGGTCAGACATCCGGAGTCCTCAGAATCCTGAACCTTCAGGAAGATGACCAGACCTCATATTTTTGTAAAGTTTTTCTGCTGACGACAGAAGGCAGGAAGTTTTGGCAGTCGATTGAAGGGACCCAACTCACCATGATACCTGGTGAGCCATCCCTCCCCCTGGCCTGGGTTCTGGGGCCCCTGACCTCCTCATACTGTAGATGTCATTAGGGAGCCTGCACTGCTGATCATTTTCCCAGATTTTTCTGTGTCTGTCCCCTTCCCTCGAGCTCTGCCAATGTTACCTTTGCTCTTCCCCATAGCCATCTTAGCAGCCCTCCCTGAGCTGGTCCCTCACTGTACCCTCAGATCCCACCACCCCACTCCCGGACCACAGAGCCCAGTGTCCTGCTCCTTCCTCCAGACTGTCACTGCTAGCCCACCCACCCCATCCTGGAAATCCACCTGTATCTGGACCTTAGAATGGGGCAGCCTTCACGGGGTCCTGCATGAGAGCCTTGGTTAGACCAGGCTTTACCCCGCACCTCATGGCCTCCACAGTCGGTGTCCTCTGGGCCCCATATATTCCTGTTACTTAATCACCACCCCTCTCCCCCGCCTTCCACAGTCAGTGGCCTCTGGGCCCCATGTATTCCCTCCCCATCTGGGTCTCCCTCCTTCCCCAGTTCCTCACATCCCTGCCTCAGTGTCCTTTTCCCCTCCCTCACTTCCCTCTTCTCCCTCCTTCCTACCATCCCCCTCTCTCCCACAGGCCCCTGATCCTCTCCACGATGGGGTGTTGTGGCTGTGTCACCTCCTCTGTTGCAGCTGTAACTGCAGCTTCCACAGAGTGTGCACAGGCCCAGCCCAGTCACTGTGTGGACCTTACCCCACCCCCTTCAGTCACCGCTGCTGGGCAAGTTCAAGGTCATTACA